GTGTTTCAGTGAAGTTGCTCAAATCAAGCTTTCTATAGAAATACCTTAATACTTCTGAAGAAAGGTGCTTTTAGCTTTCATGTTTCTTGTTGGCATTGCACAAAACCTTCCCACATAAGAAGCACTGAGGCCTCCCTATACCGTGACATTCTGTGATCTATGTGAAAGACAAAAGATGTGTATGATTTGGTACAATTTCTCTTTGACATTGCCAAAATTATTAACTGCAGTGGATTTAGTTATCATCTCATTGTTTATTAAAAATTATCAGAGTATTTTAGTGAACTCTAGATTCGGGATAGAACTTCTAATTCTCTCAGTCTGAGCTTGGATAAGGCAGGATACAAATGATGAATCAAATCTTTCAGCAAGACATGCTTAGTACACAGCGTAAGGCATGATGTTTGCAACTTATGTAAAAAAACTTTCCCTTGAGCCACAGATGCTCTTAATCAGTGTCTTACAGATTAATTTTACAGATTTGGGGTTTAAATTGCTATGAGACTCTTATTAGATCAGTAATATAACCACAAATATGTAGTGCAGAACTGTAAAGAATGTTTTCTGCCTTTATTGTAAAGCAGTACATTTGCATAAATCCTATTGTCTAATTGTATTGTCTTTGTGTTAAACCAGAGAGATGTTGGATCGTGCTGATTGAGGTTTCATACCTAATGTAGCACAGGTATGAAACCTCACTCAGCACAACCCAACATTAGCTTTATCAAGGCTGGAGAAAAGAGCACAGCACTTGATGGAGTTAGACCTGCCAGCATCCTTCAAAGGCACTTCAGCAGAGATTGGTCAATGGAGGTCGACTTACTGTAGACAAGCGACTTGTCTTTCCAGACATAGTCCAGACAAGCTTGCAACTAGATGTAGTTATGTCGTCCTCCCAGAGAAAGGATATAATCCTCATTGAACTGACAGGTCCTTGGGAAGAGAGGTGCCAAGAAGCTTTTGGGGTGGGGGAAGCAAGGAACACTGAGCTTGTCATCAGAAGCAAAGGGTGGAAAGCCCGGTCATTTCCAGTTGAGGTAGGATGCCGTGGTTTTCCAGCCCAGTCACTTTGGAGGATGTTAGGAGAGCTGGGGATCAGTGGCAAAGATAGAAAGTCAGCAGTGCAACAGATGAAAGAGGCAGCAGAAAAAGCCTCATGCCTGCTCTGGTACAGAATTGATGAATTAGTATGGTCACCAGAGGCAAGTAGTGGCTGATCATCACTGCTGTCCCGTTATCCTGAAGAAGTACTGGGTTAAGGGACGAAACTGCTCTTGACGGATAGACCTACAGTGTAGCTGATGATGTCAAGGCAGACTGTTTCATCTCATCTGTACTTGATACTTGCCTTTCTCTCAAACCAGAGACAGATGTTCAGTCATGTTTACAGTGTTTTACCACTTTACTGTTTCAAACTTGGACTCGGATGTCTCCTGATATTATGACGCTTAATGCAAAAGTAATATATGTTCAATTACATGACCGTGTTTTTGGGTCCCATTCGGTCTTTGGAATCCAAAAATTCGTCTCCTTTTGTTTCCAAAAAATGTTGTCAACAGAGGCTGTTGGGCTGGATCTCGGATACAGCTGTAGAACAGGTTATCTGGTTCCTGTTGATCAAGAACAATGGCACATATCGCTTTTGTTTTACTAGTAAACTTACGAAGACAAGTTTCCAACAGATATGCAGAATGGTGATTCTCGTCCTTGTGCGATATTACAATGACCCCTACTAGAGACCACTGACTGGTGATCTGGTTATAACAGGTGTGCTGACTACTGAGCTGCATTGTGCAGCTGTTCTTTCGTTTTTTTTTGTGCAAATTCAGTGCAGTAGGTTTGTATGTGAACGTATGCTGTCACTAAAAATAATACCAGTTCAATTCTAGCACAAAATTTGGAATTTTTTGTCATTTCAATTCCTTACCATTTCAACATTTGAATTGGAATAAATCTCTGATTTTCATTGCTGTTTAGAACTGAATCCTGCTCTGCAAATGATGGCTGGTTCTTATATGGAGGTTTGTGCATAGGTTTGCATTCCCTCACTTACAATTTGTGTAAGCCATTAATGTAAAGATGAGATTAAGAAATAGCCAATTATGAAATTTGGTGGGTATGGAATTTGTGATCACATTTAAAAACGTACACATACATGTTGTATATTTCTGTACGTTTTCCTTCTTGCAGTTCAGAAAAGTCTATTATCAGCTTCCCTCTAGGCATTCTGTCTCTATTTGCACTTCCTGATTATTTTGAAAAGGAAATTGTACTGGGATATTTACTATATGGAGTATCATGTTTCAGCGAATTAATGAAATAGCAAGAGGGATGCAGATAATATACCATACACTCCTTGTATATGGATTCATTCGGAATTTACTGAAAGTAAATTCATTAATATTCACAGTTCTGCATGTCTTCACACCTTTCCTTTTGATTAACATAATTACACAATCCATCTGCCCCTTTTCTGTTGTTTTCATAGTCTAATCTTAGACAGGACAACATTTAACATTTTCATTGTGCAAGAGTTGTTTCCAGTGGTTCATTTAAGAAGGTAAAGAAAGTACCAACCACTGTCCTGACAAAATACAACTTTGAACGAAAATTTGTCTTTAGTTCTATGTGGATTTGGTCACAATAGATAATTCTTGGAAGAATTAAAATGTATCATTAGAAAACCTGTTGTTTTATGGGATTGTTCATACCTTGTAAAATAAGTTTTGGGTGTATTGGTCATCTGTCTGAAGATTGATTATTCCATAGTCTTTTTCACACAACTCTAATTTTCTCACGTGTGAAGAGAACAACCAGTAGTACGTCTCATTTGGGAAGACCGTATTCAAAGCAAATAAATTAGCTAAATGCAAAGTTTGGTGTGTTGACTATGAATGTGGTTATGCTGAATGCAACCCTGTTATGTTTTTATAGACTATGACGCATTTATAAAATGATATATGACCAACCATTTCATGTGCCAGTTTAACACATCTAATGACACATTTCATTTGTTTTGCTTGATAATAGGTGCTCTTGTTCCCTCTGCCAGTGAGAGCTTCTTAAAAATGAGAGCTGGAGGTAATTCAGAACAGCCTTTCTTTCAATTTGTGTGATTAATTAGAAGGAACTCAGATTTATGAGTTAAAGTTTATAGGCATAAAAGTACGTTTTTTTTAAGCACGTATAGATTAATAGCCTTCGTTCAGGTGTCTTAGTTGTTCATTTCAAAAGGAAATTATTAAAATGGTAAAATGTATATAATTTCAGCCATCTATTCTTAATTTAATTGATGCTTCTCCCCTGCTAGTTTCATATTTTGCATGCATGTTACCTCAGTTGATGAAAAGCATGTATTTATGTAGTTCATTAAAGTTTTTATGCGATGTGTTGAATTTAAGATCAACTATTTTTTAAGTAAAATGTTTTTATTTTCACAGGCTTTGTAAAACTGGCTCTGCTAGCTTTAATATTTATATTGGCTATCTACGTTGCATCACAGCTTCTGGAATTAAATGTAGAATCCAAATTGGGAAATATTTTTGGTAAGTTCTTAACCAGTGTAAACTTTTAATAATATTCCAAAAGTAGTCTTAACTGCAGGTAAACCTTTTTTAAATATATGTTGGTATTGTGGTAACTGCAGAAATGAAGTTAAATATTCAAATATATTTTCATGCAGCATAGTTGAGACTATGCAATTTTGATAGAACTGTATACTTTGCATACACAGTTCAGTGAGCTG